AAGAGATGCGATGCTGTGCAGACACAGGCAGCGTAGTCTGGTCCTTCCGCTGCTGAGGCTTTAGTACCAGCTGAGTGCGGCGCGTATCCTGAGTATCGAAGCTCGTGTCTGTAACAACCGGTAACTGAGGAGAAAGACCCTTCAAAATCTGAATTTCCTGTGGGCCACAGCCAGGGGAAACACCTCACTGGGGCCACCGTGACCTGCACGGCGTACACTGAAAGGAGAGCTGAATGATAAACTTTTCTTCCTCCCCCTTTATCACCACAAGCACATCCGTGCTGTTATTACTCCTACTACAAATCAACCAGCGTGAGCCTGGTTCGAACAGGCCATCGCTGCTGTCCCCGAGCAGCACACCCCAACACACACACGAGCCCAGCGGCCAAACACGGGCCTCAGGTAACACAGAGTGTGTCGGTGCTGCACAGTGACAGCAGAACTATTGCCACCAAGGAAAGAGACAACTTGGAATAAACCCAGCTTGGATCTGCGTTTCTTCGAGATGGCATCTGACTGATCCAGAGAGTCACAGGTTTTGCCAGTATCGTGTGATGGTTTGACTGGATCTGCCGCCACAAAGGCGGCCATGGGTGAAGTCATACATCACCTGCCTGCGTCACTCTCTGAAGGAGTTTTAGTGCAAGGGAGCCCGGCTCTGCGAAGGCAGACCTGCTAAATAACCAGGTACATCACCACAAACTACAGCCCCTGTATTAATCCCGTTTTCGGTGGGAATGATTCACTTCATGCTGATTACCTCAACACAATAACAACGGCCTTTTCACACAAAAGCCCCCACAACACACCTCTAATTTCTTTGAAGGTTATCTGTAAGACATAAAGTAGTCACTGCATTAATTACAAGCTAAGTTTATTGGAAACAAGGTAAAAATCACTGCACTCAACAACACAGCGTGACAAGTACGTTTTCCATGGACATACGATACGGAGACTCTAGCCAGTAGAGCAATTACACAGCTCCCTTTGCCCCAGACAAGCCCATTTCTTCTCTTAAATACAAGCCCTGTTTTAAACGCCAGCTGTAGCCATTGATAATGAAGCAGCCTGCATCTGAAACAACACGTTAGAAATCACTTATTAAGCACCAGCTTAATAATATCTGCTTATGCCACTCAAATTATCTTTTTCCTCCCTCTCCCTCTATCCCTCATTGACTGGTTTGTTGTTTGGTTTTGTGTTTGTTTTTTCTTCATAAGCACTTAATTCCTCCTTGGTACAAAACGTATCCAAAACAAAGGCAAAACATCTTGCTGTGGAAATGCTTAACGTTGTGTTACTTTCCCTCTTCATTGCCCAGGTCCTGACAGACTCTTATTCATGAATTGTCTCTTCACAAAGCAGATCCACCACTGCAGAAGGAAGTACAGAAGTCAGAAAATACGCAGAAGCGGAGTCCATGCGGTTAACAAAATGGTGAGTTCAAAGTATTCAATCTCTGACCAATAACAAATGTTTACACGCCAGTTTTGCTCATGCAGTTTTCCACACTAGTTCCTACTGAAATTTAGAACAAGAGGACAGGAATATACCCAATGAATTTGTTATATACAACACTGAATTAACATTCTACTTTCTCTCATTTCTCTTCTGCTTATTCCAATATATTTATTCCAATAAAATTATAAACAAGGAATGCAGCTATGCTTTTGAAATTAAATTAGCCTAAATAATTTCAATATTAAATACAGTCACATTTGCACATGAAACATATGAACAGGCAGGAGGTAATTCATGCATTGATTAGCTATTTATTTTAATCTGGGTACGAGGCAAAACGGTCTACTTCAAAGAAGCTATCAAATCAGAACCGTCTGGGAAGACAAACACCATCTCTCTTGCCTGTGAATTTCCATTTGAAAACTTAGCCAACGGCTGACGTGCAATGCTTTGAAGAGCTGAACCAGACACCATTTATTACTGCCCTGCTTTTTGAAGTAGCCCCAATTGGCATTTGCTGTCTTACCACATTACAGATTAAATTTATTGATAACTTGCAGCCTGGTGTTTGACCAGCCCAGTAAAACCAGGGAACCTTGCGTCAAAGTTACCCGCACCCGATCCCTCACCTCATCATCTCACTTCTCTCCACGTGCTCCTGAAAAAAAACACACCAAGCCTCTCATAAAGTCTGTGATGATCGCACTCAACTCTCACCTTGCTTGGCTTGTCACTTTGAGGATCAAACACTTTTTCACAAAGGCGAAGACCAGTTTCTTGCCTCAGCTGCTGCAGGTAGGCCCTCATCACCTCTGAAACACAGCACAGGAAAAACCCGTGTGAACTGAGGCAGCACCAAGTCAAACGAAATTTAACGGGGAAGAATCAGGTATTGCTGCTTAAAGCAGGAAGCAACGTTTCACATCTGCAAGTACTCACTGCCTGGCTGAGTTGGTTTGCTCAATTTACAGCCATACTTGGGATTTTTATGGTATTTGTACCAGTAAAAAGCATCACCCAAACTGTTTTCTTCTCTCAGTCACCTTTGCTCATTCTTGTGGGCTTCCTCTTCTGCCAGCACAGCAGTTTGGCTCAGGCTCCACTACAGGGTTTAGCCAAGGATTATGTTGATGCAAAAGGCAGTTTCAGACTCCAATTAATTGGTTCTGCTGGATCTATGGATCCAGGGGAGTCACTGAGCCCCCGACATCAGAAAATCCAGCTTCTGCTGTCCTCAGAGAACAGAGCTACAGATTTAGGAGATTCAGTTTCACTGGTAGTTTTTCTAGTTGCCATCACAGAAATGCAGCAGTAAAGCATGAGCCCAAGGAAGCCTTCAGAGGTCCTGGATTAGCCTTACCTTCCTCCTGCTTGTTGGCAGGTTTGGCGTAAATGGCATTAAGTGGAAAGCCAGGCTCCCCGGGGATCGGGAAGTTGGTGATTCCTAGTGTGTACATTTCCTTCTCTCCTTGGCCTTTGGAGTTACACTGGAAGAACCAGGCAAACGATGGATTAAGAGTTATAAACAAAAGCTGATGGAACATTGCACCCTATCTACCAATCTCTTAACACATAAAAACTCATCGAGAACAGCAACATAACGTATCTTTCGAGATGCACAGCCTATGGCTCTGACAGCTGGGGCTGGGCTGAACAGGAATATCTGTGCCACTGGGAGAATATCAGCAAATCCTTTCCCGAGTACAACCCCAAGAACAGACTCAGTTTCCCTCCCACACAGAAATTCACTTTTCTTACTTTTTGCAGTTTTTTCAAGCACTCAGAAATGTAGAGGGTTACGTAGATCAGTGTTCTGTCAGCCTCGTTCTGCAAAACAAGAGCAAGCACAGAGCCCAGATTAAGGGAGACTTTATGGAACTGATAAAAGTTTGGAGCAGGAATAAATTCAAGGCATTTGGCCTACAGTTTCCCCATGGGAGCAGGACTCGCCATTCATGACATTTACCCAACTTTTCACTGAAAATGAATTTATATTCACACCACTAACCCTCTAAAGAAAAACTTTATGCACAGTGCCTCAAAAAATTACCTTAATTTCATAATTTTTGAAGAAAACATTGGCTTTGAAGTAGTAGATGGCTTCATCTATAATATCTGTGTCCTTAGCTAACAAAAAAGAAATACAGAGTTAAACAGTGCACCAGTGTACCACATTTGGTCATAACCTTTATTCACTGAAATATATAAATAAGGACTATTGCAAAGTCAAAACCTTCATATTTACAAAAAGCAGAAGAGAGCACTACATAACAGGAAACCGTCATTGCCATGTAAAACACTGGTAAGCTCATGAGCTCGGACCCTAATGTTTAAGCTTCCCGCTCTTAGTAGGAGGTTTAATTCTCTTTTTTTTCCTGCCATGATTTGTCACCTCACAAATGGCAGCAATTCAGCAGTTCCCCCATTTTCTACCAGTGGAGTAACTCGTTAGAGTTTTAACAGTGTAACAGTCTTCTCAGGACACAAAAATGGTTTTGGAGAAAGGACAACACCACAATGAGACAAACCTCATTATCCTCTTCAAAAAATTGGGAGGGTGAGCAGAACACACGGTGTGGCAAGCTTACTTGTGACTTTCACTCTGCTTCTGCTACCATCCAAGACTCTTTAAACACAGAAACATTTCCTTTTTATTTCCTTTCTCAAACTGCACTGCTACACTACTAGGGGATATCATGCTTGGGAAGGGCAATTTCATGTGCAGAAGGGGAATCTGCACCAGGCTGACTGTGGATTCTGTTGGGATGCCCTTCATTTCGATTTGTAACACACCCCTCCCCTAAAAGTTCCGACACCTCGTCCTTCACAGCAACCGAGCGTCTGCAGCCGAAGACCTTAAGATCTCTGTAGCTAAACCTCCACTTCCTCCGACAGCAGAGGGTTCACAGAGCCACATCTTCCTCAAAACCTACTGAAGAGCACAGTCAGATGCAGGAGGAAGCAGAATAGCAACCGTAGGCTTTAGCTACTGAAGCAACCAATTTAGCCGGAGCACAGTGCATATTTATCTGTACATAATCGTTTTCTCACAATTTTAAGTGTTTGAAAATGTTTTTTTCCTCCTCTATAAACTGCAAAGCACTCCATTTCTAACCCATGACTCCTCTTGTACTCTTGCTAGGGCTGGCTTGGAGCAAACTATGAAATGATATATACAGGCAGGTTTTCAGAAATTATCAAAAACTTACTTTCTCGAGGTGCTGGGCCTTTGAACTGGCTTCTGAGGGGTAACAGTGCCATGTTCCCAACTAGCTTGGTGTCCGAGTCCATTAAGGTTGAGTGGTAAGCCTACAGACGGGGGGAAGGCTGGTTAGTAACGCTGCTGAAAATGAGATATTTACATGTCTGACCAGCTTCCCCAAGCAGGACTCAGAGCCTAGTTCGTCAGTGATGCTTCCAGTGGTGCTTTTCCCTGCTGTTTTCTAATTAGGCCCAGATCTCAGTGCTGTTCTGGTGCAAACCGTGGAGGTATCATCACTGGTACTGTGTGTGGTCATGGTGGTGGGAGACGGGCAAATCAACAGAGCGGGTCTGCAGGTGCTGCTGCATCCCCAGCGCCGGTGGGTAACGGCCCCACACTCCTGCCCAAGATACAGGGCACTGTGTGCTTCACTGAAAGTTAGTTGGTCATTAACAAGATTATGTTTTATTTCTACTTCTAGCTACTAATATTAGATAGTAGTAAAGCCAAGCTTAACACATACCCACCCACTCAAATCAAGACCTTTCTGTGCGCTCCAAAACTGGTCTAAGTTAAAATAGATACATATAAAAAAATAAAATCTTTCTGCATATGACACATTGCCCTTGGAAAACTGATTTTTAACAACTGATGATTTTAGGTGTAGGAACCGCCCAGCCATTCCCAGCGAGCCAGGCTGCTGGGAAGCCTTCCCCTGCTCACAGCTCAGGTTTTGGAGGGGGGGAGGCAGAGGGGGTGCCACGGCTGAGGTGGGCATCCCCTAGCAGAAAACCCTTTTATTTCAACCACAGGAAAGCGACGTGGACAAAAAACTTACTACACCCCAGCTTTTACCCC